AAAAGAGGGGGGGGGGGGGGGATTCTGTTAATGTGACAGTTCACATCATTCCTTGTTTCATTGTTTAGATACGATGGAGTGTTCGCGTCCCTTTTGAATTGACGTTTATTGATGAGCAAGCTGGTAGAGGGAAGGAGTCAGTTTTAGGGTCGAAGGTCAAATCAGAAGGATTGGTCAATCCATGTGTTCTAAAAATAGTCGTATGTCATGTGTGTACAATAATATTACTATATCGTTTCGCTTTGTGTTGCACTGCGTTGCACTGTATGACATTGAAACTTTGTTATCACATATTTGAGAGTTTTAAGTTAAATGAACGAACCCCCACAATTTAGTCCTACAGTATTAGATTTTATGAAAATAAAATGAGGTATCTATAAAAGTCATTCTACAGCATCTGAATTTCTTTAGTTTTATAATTAGCTTTTGACATTTTATGGCAAATCATTAACATTGCCTTATTTAGTTGAGCTAGTCCAGAGGCCGCGGAAGCATTTCGAAAGTAGGGGGGCATTGGCCAAAAGGGGCACTTTTGTATATGATCAAAATCAAACGATTTTATGTTGTTCACGAGCCGAACGAAAATTCTTGAAAATATGGAGTCTCTATAACGTCGGAAATGGCCTTTATAGAGTCTTTACTACTGCAAAAACGGCACTTTTTCCAGCAGAAGAGGGCGTTTATTCAAGAAATACTTTTTTGGTGCTGTAAATGGGGCACTTTAGCCCAGACAAAAGGGCACTTTTTCACTTTTTAAAAAAGTGGGGGGGGGCACATGCCCCCATTGCCCCCCGGTTTCGCGGCCCCTGTGAGCTACTATATACCTCAAAAAGATTAATTAAACATACTTTGACATTTTACTAGCTCGAAACGTCTATCTGGAGTGCATGTTTGTAATCTTTTTAAGGCAGTTCACTGCACACAGACCATGATGGCAGCTTATTGTAGAATAAAACCTACACTATAATAAGAGCTCCAGGTTTTCTGTTATATTCTATCGAATTTGTACTTACGATCGATAGACTGTGACCGCACTTTTGAGATAAACCTCTGTACTTTTGAGACAAATTTCAAAGCGCCGCAAATGTACAGTATATACAAGGGGACTTTCAACCCTATTTTAAATAATTACTAACTTAGCCTGCGTAGCAGGCGTTATTCGCGGGCACAAGAGAACGGGCAGCTTGAAATACCGCCTGCCCAAAAACTATATACATTCTGAGTTCCGCCCAGGCGCCCACCGAACGCATGGTTCCACCCATCTTGTCAAACTCTTTCATGTATTGCACCAGTGCAAATATACAAATTTGACGTTTTATATTTTCTGTCCACTGAATGCTAGGAGGACAAAGATACCACGTTCTATTCAGTGTAACAATATTTCCTCATTCATAGCGATAGTTTTAGTCGATGGCAATATTATAGCGATTTAATGTATGAGCTTTGAAAGTCAAGCAAGTTCGTATATTATCAAATTACGCAATTGTTTGAACAAAAATGTAGACTAGCCATCAATCTCGTTCCCAGAGTATGCCTGTTCGCGGGTTATATAACCCCAGATAAAGAATTCAATTAATACATTCGTTATTTTTTCGTTAGTCTATGCCATCACTCGATAGATCGGCATCAATTTATACGAAAATAACAATAGTTCATAATACGGCAACATTAACTTCTAAAATTGACACTAATTATTCTAATTCTTTACTCCTATCAATCAAAAATTCAAAATTAACATTCTGACCAATCAGAATGCTCCGTCATCCAGCTGCCGGAGAACTCAGAATGTGTAGTTTTTGGGCAGGCGGTATTTCAAGCTTCCCGTTCTCTCGTGCCCGCGAATACCGCCTTCTACGCAAGCTATTACTAACTTGTATACATATCTTTTTCTTCGGAATTCTCAGGGTGATGAAATTTCCAATAAAACCACAAGATGGGATGTTTCTTTTCACGAAGGGATCCTTGTTGAAATAAAACCAAAATACGTTAACGATCTACAGACTTTTATCAAAGTAAGTTAATTAATTGAGTGGAGATGATCTTTACATGTGGGGATCTAGTATATACCGGAGTTGGGCGCGTGAGAAAAAAGATTATATACTTATTCGCTCCCTTGAACGGCCACTATTAATACTGCATGCATTTATTCCAATATAGACTTACAGATCAAGAAGTGTTAAACATGCCTCAAATTCATCAACAGAAGTTTTAGAATGGCACAGAAATGTGCCGCAAGCTGATGACGTCATTGATCAAGATCGAATTGCATTGAGTGAGAATTTAGACAAAATGTCGCACCGACAAGAAATGTGCGAGGTAAGCATATATTCGTCAGAATATTGGTCTTTACAATGCGAATACTAGTAAAAATGTCCCATGTTGTTTTCTTGCAATGGGAAAGTAATTGTACGTTGCACAGGTGTCCCTCACCAAATATTTAAGTTTTTATATACCTGTACTTCGATTTCAATGTGCGTATAAAAACATGGGCGTACCGAGCGGGGGGGCGGTAGCCCCCCAGTTTTTTGGGCACTCTGGCAATATTCGCTGAACAGTCGGGCAATTTTGGTTAATTACAAAAATAATGGGACAATTTCTATGAATTTTGCGGAAATGTGACAAATTCTGTGAATTTTGCGGAAAATTTTGTGAAATTTCCCAAAATTTTGTAGGTTCCGGACAATTATGGTATGTCCGGAAAAAATTTTTGACCCCTAAAATGGTACACTGACCGAAATTTTTTTGGCGACGGGTGGGGGAGGTCGCCAAAACAAGTTCCGGAAAAAAATTTTTGTTACTTGTCGGGTAAAATCCGGAAAAGTCGGGCAAATTTCTTGCCGCCCCCCTAAATTTTTCCTTCCGGTACGCCCATGTATAAAAAGCAATTTGTGTCAACCAAAGCAATTTTTATTTCCATGAACATTTTTTGTTTTCATGCTTCATTGTTGAGATTCTGTCGTGTATGTGGGTTCAGAAAGTACTGTATAGGAGATACAGTACAGATTTTGGCATTAGTCCTTTGCAAATTATATCATTTTACCACGCGCGGTTCCTCGCAGCACCCTCAACTTTACTCGCGCGGTAAAAGCCAGGTGTGATATGATTCAATTAATATTGACTATAACTAATATTAACTATTACTAATGACGGAACCATATGTATATAAACTAAGGCGATTGATATTAAACTCTCCTTCAAACCTTACTACACTAGGGACCTGCACTGTAGCGGTCTCGTTGCAAGTTGCACTGGCATGTGAGAAATTTAAACTGCTAAGTGTTACTCATTAATCTTTTAATTTAGTTTGCGCAGATATCTGCAAATATATGTGACGTAACTATTGATGTTAAAGATGGCTATGATGAGAAACTACTACAAGTCGTTATGATACATCCAAAGGTGTGTGATTTCCAAAAAGCACTTATTATTGATAGAAATTATATTCCGCTTTTACGTCAACATTTAGTGCATTTATCATTCTGTTTTGGTCACTTTAACACCTGCACATCGTTTCTGAACATTGTGTGCTAGCATCTAGCTTTGTTGTTGAATTGAAATCTTACCAATCCCTTTTTTACTGTGAACGGTGAATTAATAACTGACTACAGAGGAGGAAAAGTTCTTCTTGGATGCCGAAAACTCATGATTTTATTTTGGTGACATTATAAATTTAATATAAATTTTGCGTGTCGTAGAAAGATTCTTTAATTTACAGCTGCTAAATTGTGCTATTGAAAAAATAATTTAGAATGGGAAAGATTAGTTTGTTGCAAGTGTTCACTCCAGATACTTTGTACGTACTGCATTTGTCGTTGGGTCATGACCTTTAGACACGTCTAATCGCTTGTGGTAATTTGTATTGTTTTTCAATCATAATTACGTAATATAATAAATACCTCATCTGCATAAAACGAAACTAACATATTAAAGACAATACGACATTGTCCCTCTTGAGTCGTCCAAATTTGTGAAGACAAAACAGTAGAAGATTTCACTAGTAAAGAACACTGGAGTAATATCGCCAACATAAAAGATATGTGAGTATAGGGACTGTTTAGATTTGTGTCCTTTCGGGAAAGGCTTCCCTTCCACTGGAAGACAAATATGGCTACGAAGACAGCCGCTTTATGGAAGCTATAGATGAACATTTTGATCGTCCTATATGCTACAATGTTCTGAAGGAACCAGTGAACACATATTTTGCCGTGGCTGTATCACTAAACATTTAACTGAGAACTCGCATAAATGCCCAGGATGTAACGAGAAGTTGACTGTGGAAACTTCGTCAAGCCCCACGCCTCATAAACAATTATTTATCTGAGGTGAAGATAACCTGTGATTATTCCAGTCGAGGTTGTCATGAGTATGTTCGTCTTGAAGAGCTTGCTTTTCATGTGGCGAATTGCAATTTTGCTCCGGTGAAGTGTTCAAATGAGGAATGCAGAATGGAAGTTATTAAGGGAAAGTTAATTCATCACAATTTAGAGCACAGTTTGCGAGTACAGCAAAGTCCAGTGTCATTCTTGTGAAAAGTTAGAACAAGATGTTAAAGAGATGAAAGAGAAATTGGAAGATATGGCAGGAATAAAGGAGGATGTAGACCAAGTAAAGGCACTGCTCGTCCAGATGTTCGAGAAATTAAGCTTCCTTGAAAACAACATTCAAATCTTGTCAGCTATCAACCACGCATCGAATACATTGATGGAAGACATCGTAATAGCGTTACGAGAATCAGTTATTTGTCGGAAGGAAGGGGGAATTTTGGAGGAAGAAGTACTATCAATAGTTGTTTACTTGATCTTGTATTAGAGTTTGATATTAATACGAATGAGTTTAAAGCTATGCCCCCATTGCCCTATGCTGTTGAATTGGCAGATTCCATTCGCTGGGTTGATCAAGCAGTTTTGATGGGATGTTTTGGAAAGGATGGCCAGTGAAAAAGAGTTTTCATGTACGATTCCAAAACGGGTAACACCACTGAACTGCCACCCATGTTACAGGAAAGAACTGGATGTGTGCTGCCATTATTACTGGCAATACCATTGTTTGTCATGGGCGGACGAGGAAGATCTAACGGTGTTAAGTCTGTTGAAGCCTTTTACTTTACGAGGTTATTCATGGAGAAATCTTCCTGCCATGAACAATACTAGAAGTTGTGCTACTGCATCAGTTATACTAACCAAAAACCTTCATTGACGTTTCAATGAACAGCAATGCAGAGTCAAACCGTTGTCTATATAATCAGTCCAACAAGTTGATCCAGCATCATTCTAGTATATTGTTGAATGCGACATTGTTGGGACTGTTTGAAAACAATGTTGAATCAGGATTTACTTTGTTCAAAATGTTATTCAACGTCCAAAAATGTTGTACGGTGTTTAGTGGACTATTTCCGTTCAAAAAAAAAATAATTCACGTACAGTATCATTGTACGATCTTATACTGAACACATATTAATTATTGTGCCTCCTAAATTGTATTTGCTAATAAATATGTAATGCCTGGTGAAGCTTTAGTGTAAATGCATGAAAACATTTCTGGCATCACACGCTGCAACCTCGTTCCCAGGCTCTTACCTTCTCACGCCCCAAGCTGCGGAAAGACCCTGGTGCCGGCTGGTCACGTGCCTCCCAGATTTTGGGTGCTAAAATAAATTGCTATTCAGGGAAGGGTGGTAGAATTGATTTGTACGTATTGAAATTGTTTCTGAATTTGTAAAATAGTAAAATTCTAACTGTACGAGACAATAATAAAAGATTTTTTCTTGACGAAATGTTAAACCAACAGATTAATCATGTGTTGCAGCCGAAAGAGTATCATATTACTCTCAAGGATTACAAATATCTCATATTTCACTGTCACTATATATCGGTTTAGCAAAAGCACGATGATTTTCCTTAATTGATCTGCCGATCGAGTGCCGTCCTTGTGAACGACGTTCAAGAATGTAATTTCCGAAACACAGAAATCATTAGTAAAAGATTCACGATCCAAGCGATGCCCTGACGTTTTTCTATCCGTTGCCAGATCTTCGGCAAATGTTGCCGCAGTTGAAAGTCGAAGGCGCAGTTTGGCTTTTACACTGACTTTGTCAATGTGTCCTCCTCGAACGATGAAACTAGATCTCCACCTTTACCCATGTCAACAGAAGTAAGTCAATTATTTATGAATATCATCTACCAATATACTTTACCGCAATTAACAATATACTCATCCGTATACGTATGTTAGTAATCCCCATTTAAACCCAAAATCTACAATCCAATTGTGATTTCTCCATGGCCAATATTTTTTGCAAATATTTATAGAATAGCAGACGCGCAAAGGCCACTTGATTTCAGTCGAGATATTTGATCTTGTATCAGTGAATTCAAGGGAGACACAACTATGACAATACACGAACCGTCCTGTGTAGATATCTCAAATGATTTCTATGGAGAAAGAAAATCGACTTGTTTATTAAATATGATCCCTTGCAAACATCAACAAT